TGGACTACTATGCCCTTAGATCTGAACTCAACAATTTAAATTATTAAAATGACTGTACAAGTAAAACTTCTACACTTGTTCCAATCACTACCAGTAGAGGTCCCTCAAACACAATTTGCGATCTGGGATAAGATAATATCAAGATTCATTTGGGGTGGCAAAAAACCTAGAGTTAAATATGAAACTCTCCAGCTACCGGAAGACAAAGGGGGTATGGGTCTCCCAAAATTAAGGGAGTAGTTCTGTGCAGCTCAGCTCAGACATGTCATATGCTGGTGCACACCAGACTACATAACTAAGTGGAAAGATATGGAGAAAGAGTTTGGAGGATACCCAATACACAGTTTTATTGGGGATGAAGATAGATATGAGAAGATAAAAAAAATACATCGATCCATTTACAATGTTCACACTGGAAATGTGGTTCAAAACATTAAAAGAAAACACAAGATAAAGAAAAAAAATGAAAGTGCTCAGGTGGGTAGCATATGATGGCGATTTCAAACCAGCAATGTACAATAAAGGGTTCAAACATTGTATAAACAAGGGGATCACAGGATGGTATACCCTTCAGAGAGACAGGGAGCTGGAGAGTTTTAACAAATGAAGGAGAAGTATAATTAAGATAAACAGGAATTTTACAGATACCTGCAATTAAGAGACTCTTAGAAGACAGAAATCAGATGGGATCCATCTGTGGAAGTGAATGGGCTGATCAAAATGGTGATACATTCATTCAGTGGAACCAAAATTTAAATAATTTCTACACTATATCAAAAACTGATGATAAATAAACATTCAATTAAGTATATAAAAAAAAACACGACAATTTCAGGTGAAGATTGGTTAGATATGTGGAAAACACATCAGTTATCCACCAATTCACGGATATGGGGGGAGTTCACATGGAAAAAATCTAATACGATTTTTCATCGGACCTAAAGTCAAGAATAAATATAAGGGTATAAACACGGGGTGTTGGCGGAATTGTGGATCAATGAATGCCGACCAGTCTCACATATTCTGGAACTGTCCTAAAATTGTTCAATTGTGGAAAAACGTACATGAAACTGAGTGATATGATATTCCTATGAGTATAGGACTGTCAAGAAGAGGTTCTGGTTCTGAATGGACCCAGAGATAAGGAGGTTCTGGTTCTGAATGGACCCAGACATAAGGAGGTTCTGGACCCAGAGATAAGGAGGTTCTGGTTCTAAATGGACCCAGACATAAGGAGGTTCACATTTTGAATTGACCCAGAGAGGAGGAGGTTCTGGATCTGAATAGACCCATAGATGAAGAGGTTCGGGTTCAGAATAGACCCAGAGAGGAACAGTTTAAGGCTGTGAATGCACCCAGACAGAAGGGGTTGGTTCTGAATGGAGCCAGAGCGAATTTTTTTTTTCAACGGACCCAGAGAGGATGGAAATCTGGTTTTGAAAGGACCCAGAGAGGAAGAGGTTCTGAGTGTGAACGGACCCAGAGAAACAGATCCAGAAATGAAGTGGTCGTTCTGAATAGACCCAGAGGAAGAGGTTTGGGTTCTACATGGACCCCGAGAGGAGGACGTCCTGGATCTGAATGGACCCAGAGAGAATTAGGTTTTGAACGGACCCAGAGAGGATGAGGTTCTGGTTTTGGTACTATATCTTTGCAATTTGAACAATATCAAAGCAAGGGTAAAAGACATGTACCTGATTAAGATATTGTTAATAGCTATCAAAAAAGCAATTACAAGGAAATGGAGACAGGCAGACCCCCCTTGTCATCTGCACTGTATATGTAAAAAAAAGTGAAAAATACCAATAAAAAGTTAAATGGTAAAAAAAAAAAGTGCGATATATTAAGCAAGAAGCTTAATATATCTGCCGTTATAATGGTGACACTAATTACATAGAAAAGGGTAGAAGCTAGTGTCGACCGGGTTGATGCTGCCCTAACTCCGCTAATTACTAGCTCTTTGAGAAGACCCCCCCCTCCTTCAGTAATTAGCCTGTGTAACGTCAGCCTGAGAAGAGCCATTAGGGCGTAGCAGGGGAATGATGGTGATGATCTTGTATCAGCAGAAGCTTAGAAAATAGGAAAACACCCAGTCTCTTTCTTTGTCCAGGCCCTGTGAAGCTCACAGCTCAAAAATCCATAAGAAAACTTTAGTTTATGATGATGACAAAAAGTACAATCTGGTCTTAAAGAGATCCTAATGATTCTTTATGTCATCCTCAAAGTCAATGGTTTTACAGTTTTCAGCAGCTCTGCTTAAAACACATACTGGGAAAGATTTGCAGTGATCTACAGCTTTCTTAACAGCTTGTCGCATCTCTGTCAGAAATCCACTGGGAGTTTGACTGAGAGGGTGCCGTGCTTTGACTCCAGGCTATAACCAAAGCAGACATTGCAGTAAATCAAGAACTGCAGTGGCAGAGCTTAATATTTCAGGGAAATTACTTTAAAGTCTTCATATTCAGAGAAAAGAAAACTGAAGACAGAAAGTTAAAATTCACTCTTTTTAAATGTTTTACCACCCTGGCTGTTACATTTCTGATGTTTTTTTTCTGCTGATATCTCTCTCATTAGAGATTTTTTCCAATCCTTACAAACTCTTTTAGTCCCTGATATAAAAAGAGATATCCTAAGGTCAGGGCTCCAGATTAGACAGTTTTCAGCTTGATCCTTTTTTGATCAGTGAATGGCCCATGCTAAGTGTTACCAGATCACTGGGACTGGCAACGTTTAATGCTGATGATGCTACTGATAGAATGAGGCTTGAAGGGGAGTGTTGGCACTGCGCTTGTGCTCTGAGAAGGTTGCAAGTACCCTGCTCGATCACCACAGTCTGCATTCTGGGACCCTACCTTAACCCCACACTGCTCCCCCTGCACTGCACAGTGATCCCCAAGGGGACGGGTCAAATGCAGTCAATTTCCCCATTGTGTGACAATAAAGGGATTTACATGCATTACATGTAAAGTGTAATGCATGTAAAGTGCCTTGAGATGACATGTGTTGTGAATTTGGCGCTATATAAATAAACTGAATTGAATTGAATTGAATTGAATTACATTACATGACACAAACTTACACATTTTCACTGTAGATAATAAAAAGCAGGTTATAGGAAGGAAAAGCAAATTGCAGTTTTAAGAGGGTGAATAATATGAATAGAGTTGAAACCTTTTGGAAATGAAAATAAGGAATGCCTACCATGGTGGGCTTTGACCTACATGGCCCTAATCCGGAGCCCTTCTGGGCCTACAGAGGTGGGACCTTTACAACCAAGCACATATTCTTATCTTCAGCTACCACAGTATACATGTCCTATTAAATAATACTACTTATACTTCAGCAATAGTATCAAGGTGCTTCTTTATTGTATCTCTTATACTATATCCGCTGGTTGTGTTGTTCTTTTTACATCTCTCTTTGCAGATGATGAAGCAGACTGAAGACGCTTTAACATTTCAAACTTTCATCTCCTCTTTCTTTCATCTTTTCTCCTTTTTCCTGTTTTACTTACATAGCAGCGTCCATATAATCTGCAATACTCCCTGCATAATTTTAATAAAGCTATTTATTTGCATAAATCAAGCAGAACACTATGGCGATAGCCGTACTGCTCCACTGGTGAAAGCAAAATCTGTTGGGCTCTTTTTGGCATCAAGACAATTATTTTTATTGCCACATTGCCAGACAGGACACTGTGAAAAAATACATTTAAAAAAATTTACAGCTTTTCACCTTTCACTTTTCAACCAAATAAAGATGTTAATTGGATGTTAATCTTGTCGCCTTTTCAATGTCTTTTCAACAAATTTTTGCTCGTTGGGCGTAAACTACATAAACATTAACTTCAATCTGTTTTTACCAGACAATAAGGAAAATACAATAAAATTCCATACAAACACAATTCAATTACTACCAAATTAACCTACTCATTCTCAGGCTTCATGATCATTGTATACAAATAATAAATACTAACATTTCTTAAACATTTAAGAAATGTTAGTATTTATTATTTGTATACAACGATAAGCGCATCTTATTTGTAAATGATGTAGAATTATTTTATTCAGGACACAATATAAAGAAAGTTTTACAGGTTGTTGGAACACAATTTACAAAAAATAGAATAGAATAGATTTCCTTTAAATATTTGTACAAGAAACATTATTGATTCTTGTAGGTATATAAAAAGTATCAGTGCACAATTGTATCTTGATGGGGTAAATAAAAAAAAAAAAGAAAATTCAGTTTTCAGTTGTCAGCAATGTTCAACATTTCTCCCTATAATCTCTCATATACCATAAACTTATAAAAAGGCATTGTAGAGTAACTCACTGATCGTTCCATATCTGATGTAAGGCTGATAAATTAGATTTTTTTATTTATTTTTTATTTTTTTATCACAGAACAGGGCAGTAGAGTTTTTAGAGGAAGTGGATACATATATCATACAGTAAAAAGTTGTAGAAACTTAATTTATACACTTTTGCAGTATTTTAAAATGACGTACTGAGGAATATTTTGTGTATTCCATAAAATTCCACAGGACTTTCAAGTTTGAAGATGTTTCGCTTTCCATCCAAGAAGCTTTTTGAATTCAAAATGTCAGAAATAGTGTTAAGTTCGAAGCTTTGCCCCTGAAACTTGTTTCGCCATCGAAAAAACGCTGGACGAATGGGAACACCCCTTTAAAATGTAAATGGTTCCCCCTGTCAGCCCCCCCACCCCAATGCATGTGAGGCATGTGATGAACGGTTTGTACTGAAACTGAAATCTTGTATACATGACAATAAAGAGATTGATTGATGTAGGTCATGTAGTGAGTTCTATCTACAATATAGACCTTTGTTGTAGAAGATATGTCAAAAGGGGCACCCAACAAGCATAAAGCATCGAAAAGTATCATTCAAAAAGGATGGATTAAAACTGCCACAGAACATCTCAACATCCCAAAACATGCTTCCCCAACACAGCAAATTTGGCAGTGTTAAATACGCTGTGTTAAAATATATTTCCTCTTTCTGAGTAAAAGCAACAACAGGTTGAGTAGAATGCCCCCTAGTGTTGGTGAAAATCATCAGAGTTCAAAGACGGCGTGTTAACGTGACTCTTGAAAGCTCCACCCACTTTTTCATCTTCAACCGTTTCTAGACTTTTCTGGCGGGGTGGTTACAGGTTATCTCCTCTCCTCTTCGAACGATTGTGGTAAGTGTTATCACTTTTTATCCGAATTCTATGTTGGGATTTAACCAAAAATGTGTTTTATGGGAACACCTTGTTGTTTGGCTCCGTATTTTAGCACGTTTTTTTTTTTTTTACACCACAAATTCAAAACGGCTAACGTGACTGAGTGAAAACCTAGCTTAAAACGCGCGCGTTCCCAAGTTGACCAGTACCGCAAGGTAATTAACTTACTGTTGCACTTGATTTAGAAGTATAGCTTGGTTTTATTATTGATAAAAATGCTTTAAAAATTGTCACGGTATGAGGAAAAATTACCCCGCGCCGTTTTAAACGCGGTTCAAAATCAACTGTAACATTAAAACCATCAAGTAGACGCCATTTCCACCTTTATATTTATTTCGTTTTCTTCTAAACTGGCAATGGTTTACGTAAGTTGCTAAATTAAACGTTTGCATTACTGGTCTAACGGTGATATTTGAGGATGTGGTTTAACATAAGGCTACGTTAAACTTTAGGAAGCAGTTTGAATAATGGCGGCATGCTTTTCTTCGGCTTTGTCGACGTACAGAGTAAGCAGAGTATATTTGCATGATTTGTAGTAGAACGGGAATACATCCTTGTAACATTTTATCTGTCGCAGTGTAAGGCGTACAGTCAGTCATCAGCTTTCGCACCCCCCTCCCATTGAACATTAATCTTGAACGTTTGTGATGCTACGGGGATGCTCTTGTATGTCATCCACTTGCTGTATTTTTTTTATGTAATGACCATATACAACTTTGACCATGTTCAATTGTGTGCTGCAGGAATCATGTTGATTAAAACCAGACTGGGTGATGTCCAAAAATTTGTCAGAATAACAGAGCCGAATCTGAAAGAGTTTTTGGTCGCAGGTAAGAAATCGACTTTGGAGTCTACTTTTGTGCTGCAAGCTTTTAAGTGCTTCGAATAACTGGAAATATATGGAGGATAAAAAGTGCCAAAATTAAATAAATAATTAAATGTGTCAATAATTAAATGTGGAATTAAATAAATAAATGTGTCATTAATTAAAACCACGTCACTAATACAAAGTGCCACAATTAAATAAATAAATGTGTCATTAATTTAATAAAATACTTCTTCATTTTATTAAAAAAAATTGATATAATTATTTCAGTATGTATTTAATTATTTCAAGGTCCTGTGTCGCATGAAATCATTAAATGCACACTGAAATAATTATATATATTTTTTTAAATAAAATGAAGAGGTATTTTATTAAATTAATGACACATTTATATATTTAATTCCTTATTTATTTAATGAATTACACATTTAATTGTTTATCGCTGTATTTATTTATTTATTTAATTGTGGCATTTTATATTTAATTACACATTTAATTAATTATTGACACATTTAAATATTTAATGCTGTATTTATTTATTTAATTTGGGCTTTTTATCCTCCATAGGAAGAGTGTCTCTCCTCATAAAAAGATTTATTGGATTTTTGTGAGCATTAGAAAAATATTTATAAGTTTGATTGACATAGGTATTTGTCTTCCTATAGCATTTGCAAAGTTTGGTGTGCCAGCTCTGACAGAAGATGTGAAAGTTTTTGACACTTCGGGAACTGAGTTGGATGATGATGTATTTGAGGATGTAGTTAAGGATCCCTCAACTGGAGTGCTAACCATCAAACTTGACACTGGTTTGTCTCAGTTGCATATGTAATTTATATTACAGTATTGAATAAAATACAAGTTTAGTGTGATAAACATTTTTCCTTCAATCTGCTCCTGTCATGAACAGAATCTGTTTCTATGGTGTCTCCTGAGCAATCGGAACCATCATCCCTCAATTCGTCTGATTCTCAAGACACAATCATCCTTTCAGAGAGTCCTTCCAGTAAACGGCAGAGGCTGGACACAGAAGCCAAACATGTAAGAATTAATATAGTAAAACAGTGTTAGGTCTTCAAAGTGGTGGTGGTGTTTTTTTTTTTCCTGTTAAAGTGGCATTTTAATAACCATTCGGTTCATATGTCTTTATGATGTATTCTTAAAAGATAAGTACACCCACAGAATGATGTGCCTTCATTTTCTGCTCGCCCTCATGCTGAGCAAGACTCTGAAACACTTTTTTAATATTCAAATGCAGCCAGAGATCGGAGACANGGCTGCATTTGAGACATTAAAAACGTGTTCCAGAGTCCTGCTTAGCATGAGGGTGAGGAGAATATAAAGGTACATCATTCTGTGGGTGTACTATCCCTTTTTTCTTCCTCTTTGCTTATAGTTGGTAGAAACCATTTTGACCAAGAAGCCAGGTGGGGAAAGCATTATAAATGAATATAATCGAAACAAGTCCTTGACAGATGAAACCAGAAGGAAAATGGTGAACATACTAGCGGCTGACATAACAGAGAAGAATGGGTAATTTGTCAATCCTTTCTGTTTAGCTCAGTAAAACTTTCATTAAAATCAGTGCATACAACTAAGACATCTATATTTTTTTTTCTCATTTCAATGTTGCAGTACATCACCACCCAGACAGGTAAAAGAAATGTATGCCAGAGGTATTGTGAGCTTGTTTCCCCACCTCAGTGATCCATTCTCTAGGACTGGCTCTGTAAGTCAATGTAATATAGACAATATAATGGCTGTGATAGTGTCAAATGTTAAACTGAAACATTTTGATTTCTAACAGTATATTTCAATAGCTACTTTCATCTTTAAGTGATAAAATTGCTCTGCATACATAACTTTTTAAGTTGCAAGTTTTTTTTTATTATTTCCTGCATCACTTTTTTTATGTGGGTGGGGTTATATGAAGGATGAGGGTGCAGAAGTGGGAGGTGGTATATTCAAATAACACACTTTTTTTGTTATGTCAAAATCAAATGGGAAGCACCTTCAATCTAATTAACGGACTATGTTTATTCTTTATCATCAAAGGAGCATTATTATGATGGTGAAAGTGGGTCTGGGTACCTGGCCTGGAGAATTAAAACTATTCAGAGATCTGCTGCCAAAGAACGTCGATCATCATATGGAAGTAACACTAAATTAATTCTGAAAACTTTTCTTTGGTCAGAGTTTTTTTTCTTCTTATTTTTATATGATTATCTTGTTTTTTGTATATGTAGCATCATCTGCAGGAGCATCTCATGAAGATGGACCTGGAGGACCAGCTGCCAGACGAGAGCCCCAGTTTGTCCCAGAGATTGTCCTGAGTGAAGATGAGTGTAAGGAAGCTGTCGCATTGATGAAACATTCAGCTGATGAGGACACCATCAAGAAAAAGATGAAGCTGACATTTGACTTCCGCCGCAACATGGTCCTCGACCCACAGCAGTCAAGCAACATACTGTCTGTCTTTCCACGTTTCAAGGATGTCAAAGGCTTGGTAAATATTTCTGATTGACATTTTTAAAAAGGATATGTATATTTTACTGGCAGTCAACAATGAACGTAACTTGTTGGGATGTGAAATCTTAGTTCTAATTTATCCATACTCTAGGTGGAACAGGATTTTGTTCTGATGTTTGGGGAAGATGTCTCGGGGAAGTTTCTGGAGAAATGGACAACCGCATTCAAGAAAAAGATCATCCAACAATGCAGAAAGCTTCCATCGACCAGAGAGCTTGAAGATCTCCTCCTGGCAGCTGACACTCCTGAGGATGGCACTGAAGTGGATGACGACATTGGTAAGCTTGACTTTTTCCACATTCCACTTACACTTGTGTGTTTAACCATAGCCCATGTAAGAGTTAAGTAAGGCAATTCGGGGGCTGTATGTCCTATACTTCATATAAATATTGAATAATTCATTTACAACACAAGTTAAACTTTTAACACAATTTCTTACACTGTGGGACAATAACAAAATAAAAGCATATTTGCAGTGCCTTTTGGTTAGCACATTTTTATAGTAGTGCTGTGTATGAACAGCACAGCTACTGTTGCCCTGAGGTGCAATAGATTTATTCAAATGTGAAATGCTTCAAAAATGTTTTGTGTTAGGAGTAGTGAAAGTTTTAAATATAAAATAGCTCAGTAGAAACAGAACTGATGATCATATACACCTGCTGCCTTGTATTTTGTTGAAAGGGAAAATATTGAAATAGCAG